TTCCTTAGAGCTTGGATTAATTTACTTCAAGCTGTCTTTGACTTTAAAATTTGAGCTGAGAAGTCAGCTGTGATTCTAATGGGCTTCCTTTATAGGTGATTTGTTTCTTTTCCCTAACAGCTTTTAAAATTCTGTTCTTGTGTTGAATTTCTGAAATCTTGACTATGATATGCCTGCTTGTAGAATTTTTTTGGTCATTGCTGGTTGGAGTTCTATATTACTCGCTTATCTGTATGTCAAATTCTTGTCTACTAGGAAAATTTTCTGCCATGAATTCTGTGAACATTTTTTAATATCATTTGTGATATCTCCTGCTTTTTCATTAACTCCAGTTAATCTGAAGTTATTCTTCTTTGTCTCATCTAGCAGCTGCTAAATTGATTTCTCATGGTCCCTTGCTAGTTTTGAGAAATCTTTCTTTTCCTGGTCTTGAGCTGCAAGCCTGTCTTCAATATCTGAGATTCTGTCCTCGCATTGGCCTAATCTGCTTTGAATAGTTGCCATGGAGTTTTTATTTTCCTGGGTATCTGCTTGAATCTGCTTTATGGATTCCATTTCTTTCATATACTGAGCTCTATAATTTTAAGATCATGTATTTTTTTGTCTGTATCTGCTCTAGCATCACTAAGCATGGTCTTTATCTGAGAGATTATTTCTGATTTCATTTTTTCCAGAACCTCATTCAATTGCTTTGTTGTTACCGCTTCAGGGAGGCCTGGTGGGAGGCTTTCAAACTGTCCCACCTCATTACCTGCTGGATTTGCCTTTGGTGAACTTGGTGGCTGTGGTTGCATTTTGTTCAAGTGTTTTTTCATTTCTTCAGTTTAATTACTGGCGTGATACTTGTAAATTGCCTAAGGTGGTTTACTTTATTGCTAGTATTTAGGACCCGTAGGTGGTGACTGCTTCTCTGAGGTACCTTCCAGGTGTGTCTGGTTTTTGGGTGTCAGTTTGTTGGAGATGAAAAGTTGTTGCTTGTGGCTTAATCCTGGTTCTTTGGTACTGTGCCACAGCATTTTCTGTGACCCTTAGTCAGTCTCAGTCATGGAATACTGGGATGAACAGCTGTTTAGAATAATTGTGTCAGTTTTGACTGTAGTGGTACCAGTAGCATCAAACACATTCTAGCAATCCTTTATTTGCCACTTTTAACCATATGCACTAGATCTGTGGTTATATAAAAAAAATCTAAAACAAACCAGAAAGTTGTATGCAGTATGCAAGTTAATTTTGCCCTCTGGGGTTAGAATTTAAAATGGATTAAGAAGAAAACAAAGGTGTATCACGGCAACTTTGGGAAACTGGTGCAGAAGACTGAAGGAAAAGAGGAATGCAAGAGATAAAAGGAAGAACAGAACAGAACCACAGCCACAAGGAGGCCAGGAACCATATTCATACTTACACAAAAACAGGATCAAGCAATGAAGGAGAAAGAAAAAAGTAAAGAAAAAGTCTACTTTCAGGATTCTTACTGTTTTCACTAGCAGAAAGGAGTGGAGAGAGTCCTGATCTGTGCAGATCTCTCCCAGCAAGCCAGCAGTAGCTTTCTGGTGGGGTAGTGGATAATCTCTGCAGGCCTGCCCTGAGACCAGACTCACTGGGCTTACCGCCATCCAACCAGTTTCTGTGGGTCTGAGCCCAGATGGGAGTTGCTAACTGTAGCTGGCAACTATTCTGGGTTCTGAGCTCAGCCAGCCTGTCTCCAGGATGGCTCCCAGCTAATCGCTGTCTGCAGCAGGAGGACTAAGTCCTCTGCACTCACCACCAGCCAGTGCAGTCCATCCTGTCTGCTTCTCCTCTCCACTACCACATCTCTCTGCAGAGGCCTCTGGGGTTGCCAGCCGTCGCCATCACCTTGGGTCTGCAGGTTTGAACTGCTCCTCTCATGCAGTGAGTCCTGTCTGAGGGACAAAGCACCGCTGGCTACCTCCTTCTTTGTTGGACTTTCTATCTTTCACTTTCTCTGTGGGCTTCAATTTGCACTCAGACTCTTCCTGGGTCCAGTGGCCCCACTTCCCTCCTTGTCCTCCTCACGATGCTGTATTCCAGGGTCTGGATGGTGTCCCTCAGAGAGGCTGTTGTCTCTGCAGCGTAATGCTCCACCATCTTGGTCTCTTCCCTTATTTACTCCTCAAATCCTGTAAGATAGGCATGACCAATGATGGTGAGCTTTCCCCTGCCCCCCATTTTGGATTTTTTTTTTTTTTTTTTTTTTTTTGAGACAAGCTCTTACTATGTAGCCCAGGCTAGAATTGAATTTACTATTGTAGCCAAGCTGGCCATGAATTCTCAGTGATCCTCCTGCCTCAGCCTCTCAACTACTCGGATGACAGACAGGCATGTGCTATCATGTGTGGCTTGGGCCACCATATCCAGCAGATGGTGAACCTTTCAGAGTCCAAGTGCTCAAACTGAAACTCAAACCTAAACCCACTTATTTATCACGAAGTGCCAAGACTACAATTTAACCTGAATCCTGAGGTTTCAGACACTTAGGCACTGAGTTTCAAACTACTCAGACAATTGGTTCACCTGTCAACAGAGGGGGCCCCGTGTGTCTATGCAGCATGCACACTATAAGTTGCAATCATGGGACGTGACTCTCCCTCTTTACAGGTGGAGAAACTGAGTCCCCCGGCTTTGTGACCTTCCCAGAATCATAGGGTCTCAGATGGTAGAAAAGGCTTAACTGTGATCTTCTCTGAGTCAAAGGTCTTTCTCTTTCTCCACCATGGTCTCCCCCGACATGCAGGAGGAGATTCACTCAATTTTGGGGCTTGAATTTGAGACTTCTCTGATGTCCCCAAAGTCATCACCAGATTTTAGGTTGGACTCAGAGATGTTTGTGACTTCAGTAAATATGGGAGAGCATCTCTAATGCTCTATCTGGCCACTGTATGGTCAGATTAGCCCTGGATTACATGATCAACAATGGCATTATAGATGGAGTTTAAATGCAGTGCTCTGCATAGTGTCAACTTGTGTTGGTCTTCTGATACACCAGTCTGGATTCTGTTTTGAAAGAAGATACCGTATGCCTACTCTGTCTCTCTGTCTCTGTCTCTGTCTCTGTGTGTCTGTCTGTCTCTCTCTCTTATTTTATTTTATTTTGGAGACAGGGTCTTGCTCTATTATTCAGGCTGGTCTTGAACTCACTGTGTAGTTGATGCTGGCCTTAAACTCATAGTGATCCTCCTGCCTCAGTCTCCTGCATGAATGCTGGGGACACAGGCATGCACCACCATGCCCAACTGCCTGCTGTTTGTTATGCTTATAAATTCTAGTTTTCAGGAAGAAGGTGGTGGTCTTCGTTCATTCAGTAATTGACTCAGCAGATAGGTATGATTGATGGCAGCTCTGCAGGACCCACATTCTGGAAAGAAGATGGGCAGAAAGCAAGAAAGGAAACACACATGCAATGCAGTGTGTGATGTGGCTGGAAAGGAGAGCGCTATGGATGGGCTGGGGCTTTGCCCAGGGGCTGACAGGTGCAGGCCTCTCCGGGAAGGGTTTACAGCTGAGACCTCCAGCCCAAGAAGGAGCTCACCATAGTCGGAGTGGCAGATGCTGTAGGTTGGTACACTTAGAGTGCAGGAGCTGGTTAGGGCAGGTTTCTGTCCTTGGTCTCAGGTGCTGGAGAGACGTGGCCAGGCCTGGGGGTGGTGCTGATCCATGGAGGTACATAACAGAAGTGCATGCTTCTCAGTGAGTGTTGTAGTCAGGGGTTGTGAGGAGAACAATTAGAATCGGGACACAGAATTTATAGTATTATTTTAAGATGGTCACCCAGAGTAAAACACAAGAAAATGCAGGAAATCTGTCCACAACACTAAAGACCCAGAATATTGAGCCAAGGGCCTGGAACCCACAGCAGTGTCCTGCGTGAGTCCAGCTGAAGACCTGGAGCCCATGACAGTGCCTCCCATGAGTCCAACTGGAGGTCTAGAGCCCACAAGAAGGACTCATGACAGTTTTACAGATCCATGCTGGGAAGGCCCAACAGTCAGCAGTGAGAGCTAAAAAGTCTGTGCCAGCAGGGTGAAGGAGCTGTGCTGGTAGGTTGAAGGCTCTACACTAGAGCCAAGAAGTCACACACAATAAGAACCAGGGCTGCTCTGAAAAGTACCACAGGTATCCTCAGTGACACAAAGGTCCCAAGTTCCTCTGACAGTAAGAACAGTTGACTACATGCCAGAAAGCTAGTGTGGTTAAGTTTCTGCAGGAGATTAAATGGCACACATCTTCCCCTCCAGAGCCAGGAAGCGATGCTTGATGTAAGACCAGAGTTCCCACAAGGTGAACCACAGCCACTCTCCCCAACAAGGTCCTGAGCTCCTCCAATGACAATGGCTGAACTCACACTGGGGAAGCTGGTCATGATGAGCTCCTCCAGGAGAGCCAGTGGCTCAAACAGCAACACTTAGAGAAACCCACAAAGCCTCGCTCTTCTCCACATCTCTGTTTATGCTGGCAACTTTCCTCAGGTGGAACATCTACGCTCAGCACCATGCTGATTTAACTTGGCTGGTGTTAAGTTGACCACCAGTTTTTAATACATAACACTGAGCAAGTATCAGCTACATACTGGGCTCTGTTGTCTCGTTGCTGAGAAATGGGGGCTGCTGAGCCTCCGTTTTGTTAAGAGAGAGAGAATGATGGTCAGCACAATTTATATAATGTATTCTGCGTCACAGGGGTCACAGAACCCTCAGGTGCCTGAGGCTGAGCTCTGCGATGCATCTGATTCCCCCAAGTGGTGTGCATGTGAAGCTCTGAGCTTGTGTATATGAGTCATGTGTTAGAGGCCAGTTGTGAGTTCCAAATCTGGGCTGTTCTTTAAGAAAGTTCTCTCTCTCTCTCTCTCTCTCTCTCTCTCTCTCTCTCTCTCTGTCTGTCTCTCTCTCTCTCTCTCTCTCTCTCACACACACACACACACACACACACACACACGAATAAACAGTGAGGTTTCCTAACTCTGTGTCCTCTTTTCCTGGAAACAGGTCCCAGCATTCCCTGGGGATGTTGAGATTCGAGCACTGATTGAAGGACAATTCATGGCCAAGAGGATTCATGCAGAAGGCCTGGGCTATAGAGTCTGTAAGTGAGCTCCTGGCAGGATGTGTTCTGAGCTGGGGGCTCAGGGATGGTGGGGCCCTGTCTGTTAAGACTCCTGTAACAGGTGAGTGTGAGCAAGTGAGTTGACCAGCCTGGCTGACAGGTGTGGAAGAGGAGATGGGCAGTCTACTCCTCACCTCTGCCCCCATAGCCTGATCCCTTGGCCAGGACTGTGTGGCTCTGGAAAGAACTGTCTTTCTGTCACCCTGAGCTGGCTACAGGCTGAATGTCCTGAGCATTGTGCCCCAAGGAAATAGATAATAAAGGCAGCAAGTGTAGGGTACTCCTTCTAGGAAACAAAAATGAACCGAACTGGACTAGTGCACCCAAATTGGTGAATCTCACAAATGTAACACTGAGTGAGAGAAGCCAGACACACAGTGCATACAGGAAGTTCTGTGTGCATTAGAGTTGGGACACACAGAGCCATTTGCTGTTGCTGGAGCTGGGATAGGATGTGAGGTTACCTTTGAGGAGGGCTTTGCGAGGACCCTCCTATGTCAGCAGTGTTAGTCACGTTACACTGTTTGTCTGGGAACCTTTGTCATGGTACAGGCTGATGTAATGTGTATACTTTTTCTGGATATATGTTTTAGGTCAGTAAAAATTTTAAAATAAATACTGGACACATTCCTATTTCCCTCTTATACTATCCTAGAAGTTTAAGGAGAGATCTCCTGAGGGTCTCCAAAGCCTTCAGAGTTCCCTGAGAAAGGAGACTGGGTGAGCAGGGCAGGGATGGTAGCGAAAGTTGACTCTGAGTGCTTGGCAGGAGTCCTCTGGCTTTTTGAGAGACAAGGAGCTGTCCCCAACAGAGACAGAGAGAGACAACAGAATGAGAGGGAGCTAGCCTGAGAGACAGGCAAATAGGGAGAGACAGAGACAGACACAGAGAGGGGAGGAGGGAGGAAGGGAGGGAGACAGAGAAAGTGCCCGCTCAAGGGCTCACCCCGCTGTCCCGCTCCTCCAGCCAAGCCCCGCCTCCTACCATTTTGGCACCTCCAGCAGCAGCAACCTCCTGTAGCTCCTCAGCCAAGGGGAACCCCGCTAATGAGGTGAGGGCCCTCTGGATGGGGTGCAGTCTCCTCCTGCCAGAGAGCACTGCCACGCTGGGGCACAGGCTTCTCACACAGGAGCTTTCGGGGTGTTCTGGGTCTGTACCCAGAACAGCGGTGGGGCATGAACACATAATTTAGTGTGAGTCCCCCTGTAGCCTCTCTTCACTTGCTGAATACAGCAGGCCTTGTGGCTGTCTCTGTCTGCCCGGGGGGGGGGGGGGTGACTGAGTTCACCTATCTTGGCCGCTCCCACACCCTACCTCACCCTCTCGGCCTGCCAGATGTCAGGTCTGCTCTGCACGGGGGTGGAGGCCACAGCCAAGATGCCCACCTGCCCTTCTGGCTCTATGATGTGCTCAGATCCTCACTGACGCTTGTCTTTGCCAGTCTAATGGGGGTCAGCTGATAGCTCAGTGGTGTTTCTTAAATGATGAATTTGAACCACTTTTGTAAACTTGATTTCTTCCACTGTGAATTGGCTGTTTATATCCCTTCCCATTTTTCTGTTGGGTTAATTTTTTCAAATTGATTTGGAGGGGTTTATTGTATGATTTGAATAGTAGTAGTTGATGGACCGGAACTCGCTCAAAGCCAGACCAGACATTCTCCCGAAAGAAAGAAGCTTTATGGGTCAGGGACTGCTTTGCAGACCAAGACAGGTGCTGTTTGGCTTGGGGAAAGGATTTTTAAGTAAGGGTTGTTTGGGGTGGGGTGGGGTGCTCTGCAGGTGAGCCAGGTGCGAGCAGCAAAGTGTGACATGGTCATCATCAGGTACTCTCCTGAGCAGGGGTGACTTTTGTGGTTGAATCAGTTCTGGGAAGTTTCTTTTCTTGCATCCCTAGCGTGAACAGGTTGACCACCTGGGAAGTTTCCTTTCTTGTAGCCCAAGCATGAACAGGCTCCAGAGGCAGACTGACCCTTAATCCCAGCCTTTTGTTTTTAGGAATCGGCAGTGAGGTCTTTTTGGTTGCTTTAGGCTGACTTGGGGCAAAGTGGGAAGGCTAGGCTGGGGATGTAGGGTCACCGTAATGATCAATTGTGGGCACCATCTGATAAGAGAAATCTCTTATCAGATGCGTCTGGTTAAAATTTTGAGTGGTGACTTTTGTGACTGTGTTGCGGACTAGGGAGATAAAACATGGCACAAGCATAAGCATGACAGAGCCCTGTGAGGGGACTCAGGAGTGGTGAGAGCTGAGAGAGGAGCCCAGCAGAGGAACTGAAGGGGAGGCAGCGTTAGTGGGCTGATGCATTGCAGGTGGGGTCTGAGAGGAGGTATAAGATCTAGGGTGGTCAGGTATAGGAATATGGGGGGCTGAGAGAGCCAGAGGGTGATGTACAATAGAGACAGATGGCAAAGAAGGCTTGGCAATCGCAATGGGTGTAGGGAATAGTGAAAAGTGCAGGAATTTGAGACAGTATAGTATAAGGGTTTGGCACCAAAGTGGGTTCATAAACAGTATAGGAATCCAAGCAGCCAAACTGATAAATTTGGAATTTTATTAGCTGAGCTCAGTGACCACCTGTGGATCCCTGTTTTACAGTCAAAACAAGTGGCCTCAAACTGGAGGGTTACAGGGCATTTAAAGCAGAAAACCACAAAGCTAGACATCCTGTTGGAAACAATTTAACTAGAATCTAACATTAATTTTGGTTGAAACTTATATCCTGCTTCTTTGTTGAGCAGGTTAATTTTTTTCTCTTAAGGGTGCAGCTCATTCTGCTTTTCTCATGAGATTTATACCTCATGTAATATTTCACTCTTCTGGGTCAAATACAGGGCACAAGTCAAATACAGAGCACAAGATGGCGTCAGTTATGCCAAGCTACAACGTTCCCCCCTGGTTTTAGTACATGAATCAAATTTTTGATTGCTGGTCATTTTTTTATCTAAAAGTTATCTTTTTCATCTAAATTTTGTAAATCCTTATATTGGGAATGTATAACCATTAATTTAATAGATTACTCTCAGCCTTGGATATAATACATTAAACAATTTATCATGCAGGGGCCAACAGTGGGATGGCTGGTGGGAAGAAAACCAAGGGCCTGCCAGAGCTGAAAGTCGGGGGGCAGGACCTTACTTTCTGGAGTGGCAGAGAACAAATTTTTATTTCAGCTCTGTTGACAGTGTTTCTCATTTTTCCTATCAGGTAGGCACTTCATGATCTAAGACTGTCCTGGATTCACCAAGGGCTAGGCATAGACTTCCTTCCCTGTTTTAGGAATAGGAGGTCTAGACCTCATCAGTCCTGGAGGACCATCTCAGCCAGGGGGTTTAGAAACTCCTCTAGGCGATGAACATTTTGTTCAAGTGTACCCAGATACCCAGATCATGGTCTGTTTCTTTGCTTAGTATCTGGTAATTTTGTCTCCCACTATGAGGGCTGTGGTTTCTAGTGCTGTGGAACTGGCTATTCCTAATCCCAAAAGGATGGGAATTAGGACTGGGGCTGTTTTTCTTCTTGTGAGTTGGATAACCCCAGATGTTCCCTACCTCCTTCTCCAGAATACCAGTATACTTGGGGAAGAACATGAGTTCAGGTTTAGGTCCAGTGAAGACAGCCAGATGAGTGCAAGGGGTTGAAGCCATTTGTACAGGCAAACCAAGTTCCTGGTGGGAAGAGTAAATGTTGGTTACATAGTTGAATTACAACTGATTTGAAATGGGAGCACTTCAAGGGGAAGTTTACAGACTGAGTGCAAAGTCCAGAGCCCTGAAGGTTTCCCAAAGTGGAGGACTTAGGAACCTGTCCCCACCAGCATAAAGAACCAGAATCAAGGCTTGAGGTGCTTACCATCTGGGTTTGATTGTTGTAACTCACCTATAAGCTACAGGGTGAGGAGGGTTATTATTATACATAAACAGACTTAGGGTCTGCATCTTTGGAGCTTGACTTTTAAAGGGTCAGAAGACTTTTTGATAGTCCACTTAGCCAGAGTTTCTGGTCCTACAAGCTTGAAGTGAGAGTGGTAAATCCAGTGGCTCTTTTTGGCAACTTTGTGGGATAGGGTCCTTTCCAGTGGGCACCTAGAGATGTGGTCTGTCTCCTTTTGATGTAGGTTTGATCAGCAGGTTGGGCTGCTAGGGAGATCAGACCTTTTGGGAACAGTCTGGTAGCTCCAGAACGAGTGGTGGGTTGAATGCAGGAGGGGCTGGAGAGCCTGTAAGGACTTAACAAGTTCCCCATTAGTGACAGCAGCCAACTTACCATCTTGAACACAGGGGATCAAAACCGACACTGGGTGGTCGGCTGCACATGGCCTCAAAAGGAGTAATGTCCTGGAGATAGGGGATAAATTTCGCATGCAGAAGGGCAAAAGGAAGGATATTTATCCAGTTTTCACCAGTCTCAAGAGCCAGTTTTGAAATAGTTTCTTTTATGGTTCTGTTCATTCCCTGTACTTGGCCTGAACTTTGAAACCGGTAGGCACAATGTAATTTCTAATTGATTTCTAAAGCTGCAGTTAAATTTTAAGTGATCTGAGCTATGAAAGCTGGGCCATTGTTCGAACCCCAGGGAGGTGGGCAAATTGAATTGAGGCACTGTCTCATAGAGGAGTTTTTTAGCTAGTGTGAGAGCTGATTGAATCCGAGTGGCAAATCCTTCAGTCCACCTGGTGAATGTGGGACAATGCAAGTATTGGAAAGCCATCTATAGGAGGCGACCACAATAATGTCTTCATAGCATGTGGGGTCACTATTTGGAGTCTCTGACCAAGTCAACTTAGAGGCTCCCTTGATTGTGGTGGCTACAGTTGTCCTTAGGCAGTTTGGCCACCTTGCAGGCGTGGGGTCTAATCCCTGGGAGAGACAGCCCTTTCCAGGCGACAGCCCTTTTCAGGGTCCTCGGTACTGGGTCAAGACCTCTTTTGCAATCCCATGGCTCTTGGCCACATGCGATTGGAAAGGTTTGGCTAAAT